CCCCCCGTCTCCCCGCCTGTCTCCCTGTCTGTCTGTGTGTCTGTCTCGGCAGGACTGGCAGGGGCGCTTCCAGCAGGAGCCCCCCGTGGCGCCCCGCTTCGACGTCAACGCCCCCGACCTCTACATCCCAGGTAGGGCCGGGGGCAGGTGGGGAGGAGCGGTGGGCCGGGCTGCAGGGCCGCCCCCTTCCTCCTCCTGCTGCTGCTCTTCTTCCTCCTCCTCCTCCTCCTCCTCCGCAGTCATGGCCTTCATCACCTACCTGCTGGTGGCTGGGCTGGCGCTGGGCACGCACAATCGGTGAGGCCGGTGGGGGCACCTGAGCCAACCGGGCTCCCCTCCCCTTGCCCGGAGCCCCCTCCTCACTCTTGCTGCTGCTGCTGCTGTTTGCAGGTTCTCCCCCGACCTCTTGGGCTTGCTGGGCAGCTCCGCCCTGGCCTGGCTCATCGTGGAGGTGCTGGCCGTCCTGCTCGGCCTCTACCTTGCGGCCGTCCACACTGCACTGACCCCCATCGACCTGGTCGTCTTCTCAGGCTACAAATACGTGGGGTGAGGAGCCTGGGACCCTCGCATCCTGGGCGGGGGTGGGGTGTGGGGGGAAACCTGATGGGTGGTGGGGTTGACCCGTCTTTTTATCCTTGCCAGCATGGTTGCAGGGCTCTTGGCAGGGCTGGTGTTCGGGAAGCCTGGCTATTACATGCTGCTCGGCTGGTGCTGCGTCGCCATCTTTGTCTTTACGGTGAGAGGGAGGCTCTTGTTGAGGGTGGGTGGGTGGCCCCCCCCCTCAGCTGCTGTGGGTCTTTAGGCACCTGCCTCCACCGACCTTTCCCAATGGGCTTCCTTCACCCGCCCTCCCTCTCCCAGATCCGTTCGCTGCGCCTGAAGATCCTGTCCGAGGCAACCGAAGGGGTCTCGAGGCGGGACACCCAGAGCCAAGTACGCATGTACCTGACCGTGGCTGTGGCTGGGCTGCAGCCCCTCCTCATGTACTGGCTGACCTTTCACCTCATCTACTGATGCTTTGCTCAGGCAGCTGCTCCGTGCCCCCAACATCCACCCACCATCTCCAACCTGCCCCCCTCCCCGGCCGCCCTGCTTGCACAGAAGGCAGAGCAGGGCAAATGGGCGTTTCCGGGCCCTAATTCACAGCACCCTCGTCCTCCTGGCAGTTTGCACTGCTCCCACCTTGATTCGGCTCAGGGCGTTTGCTTGTCTTGCTCTCTTCTGTCTGGTCCCTGTCCAGCCAGGTTGGTCACTCCCGCCGAGGAGCTGGGAAAGGGGCCCGCTTTCCTGCCTCTTCAGGATAGGGCGTGTCCTGCTTGCCACAAATGGAATAGAATGTGGGAGGCAGTGGGCAGTTGTTCTGAGAGGGGCGCTGGGGGGCATTTTCTATCTCCCACCTGCCTTCCCCAAGGGGTCGACGCGCGGTCGGAAGCAAAGCGGTTGTGTCCTCAGGGAGCAGCAGCTACCTTTGTCGCCAGGGCTGAATGGGCAAAGGGCAGCCTTAGGTGGGCAGGGTGAGGACTTGGAGCTGCTGCCGGCCTCTTCCAGTGTCTTCTGGGCTGCGGCCAGTAGCCCCCCCAGTGCTAAAGCATTCATTGCACAAAAGTTTAGTTCCTCTTTTATTCAGAGTCCACTCATTATTAAAAACACAATTAAAAGAGTCCCTCAGATTTAATGCAATCAAGTTTTGATTTGTTTTTAAAAAAAATATAAAACCCATTTAAAGCTGGTTATGTGGAAGCTTGCTCAGTGAGATGCCTCTGCAGCAGGTGCGCTGGCTGGAGCCGCTCTTGAAAGTGCCCCCTTTCCTGGCAGGAGGGGAAGCAGGCGGAACTGCTGGCAGCTGCAGGGGCAATCGAAGGCCTTCGGTCACCACAGGGCCCCCTCCAGCTCCTCTCCCCTGGCCAAGCCAGAGGAATTAGGGTTTGTGGTCGGTGGGCCTGTGAGCCAAAGGTGGCCTCATCTGGGAGGCTTTGGGGAAAACGGTCCATACCGGCCAACTGCCGAGCCTCAACAGCCGTGGTTGCTGGCAGCGGGTAATCTCAAGAAAGCCATCTGGCGCACTGGAGAGCAAAACTGGGCAGCCCCCACAAAGAAATGGGGAGAGGCACTGGAGGGAAGGTCCTGGAGCAGAGCTGAGCTTAAGACACACTGAGGAATGAAGTAAGGGGCCCAAAGCCCCCTGCCCAGACAACGGGGGGTGGGACACACGGCAATTAGGGTCCTTACACCTTGATTCTCTCCCTCCCTGACCCCTAGATTGGGGGCTCTTGCACTCTGCCCACTGCACTGGCATATTTGGGACACATAGCACACCTTTCACCCAGGGAAATGGGGTTTCACAGGGCTGCTGCAGAGCCCCTCCACCAGCCTGTTCTCCCGTTTCCCTGAGAAATGCATGGCTCTGGCTTGAGAGGGAGGCCAGTACCTTTGGGTCTCAGGTGCCTTGGAGGAATTCTGCAGAAGCAGAGGGGTGTGAACACCCAAAGGTTTTCCTGAAGAAAAAGGGCTTCGGCTGCCCCCCCCCCCCCTTTAACGTGTGCAGGGCAGAGGTCTCTGCGGGACACAGCCAAGGGAGCCCCCGGCGGCTTCAGCTGGGGATTCCCAGATGTTCTCCCACTGCATTGAGGGGAGCCAAGTGATGTAGCGCCCCCGTTCACCAGAGGGAAGACACGGGGGGGGGGGCTCTGGGCCAAGCGAGGCGGCCTCATCGCTGGCTCTGAAAGGGGGGCACTGCCCGCAGCTCCTCTTGGACTCCTGTGGAGCAGCTGGGCCCATTCCCCCGTGGGCTGGAAAGGGTGACTGGGGGGGGGGAGAGGAGGGGGACGTCCCCAGGGAAAGAGGGGTGTTTCCCCATCAAAGGCCTGCAAGGCAAAGCCAGCAGTATTTACATGCTGCCTTGATCCCCACTGAGGCAGCTCCCTGGCTCAGAGGCTGTAGGCGTTGCTCATCAGATACTCTTTGTCATCCAGCGTGCTCCACACCGTTCCCACCGACAGCTCCGGGTTCTTCCGGCAGATCTTGACCAAGAAAACCGCCATTGAGCCCAGCAGGCAGGTCATCAGGATGGCCAGAAGGACCGCAAGGACCACGGCTGGGGGAGAGAGAGAGAGAGAGAGAGAGAGAGAGAGGCAGAGCATCAGGCGAGGGAGGGACGGTGGGGGGGCCTCCCGGCTACCTGCTTGGTTGGCAACTGGCCCTGTGTGCCGCCTCATCCAGAACGGGAGCTCTCCAACCGAGGGTGATGGGCAGAAGGGAAGCCGCACGTGTTGGGATTCCCTTGCCTGGAGAAGCTGTGGGGGCAGCAGCAGCAGCAGACGGGGGAGTCGGCAGCCCCTCGCTCCTGTGCCAGCAGCGCCAAGAGGCCCGAGGAAACCCAGGCCCCTCTGGGACTGAGCTGGCCACGAAGCCAAGGGGCAGCGGGAGACCCCACTTCCCTCCCAGGGGTCCATGTGGTCTCAGCGGAGGCCGGGCTGCTCACCTCTGGTGGAGAAGCCGAAGGCTTCGGAGGGGAGGCGAGGGTGGGTGCCTGGGTCTCCCGGCTCTTTGGTGATTTCTGGAGCAGAGAGGAGAGAAAGAGGAACCGGTGAGAAGGGGGAGTTTGGGGAGGAGCGATCAGGAGTCCCGGCTGCCCTCTTGGGGTTTGTGCAGGGGAAGCACGGACTCAACTCCCGTTGCTCCTGGCGGGGTGGGGTGGGAGGGCATGCCCACCGACTGGGAAGGGCGACAGGTCACCTGCGTCCCCTGTGCACTGGCTCCAGCACGCCTGCTCAGAGAGGTAGTTGTTCTTGTTGCCATGGCAGCCCCCGTAGGTAAACCTCTTGCACGTCTGGCTCTCCAGGTCAAAGTACCAGCGGAGGAAGGAGGCCCGGCAGCGGCCGACCAACCGGGGTGCAGCGCAGAATTCTGGGGGAAGAGAGATGGTTTGCAGAGCCCCCAGAAGAGAAGGCGAGAGTCCAGGACCAGGGGAGGAAGGAGCCCCCCTCGTACCTCTGAAGCCAGGCCTGTTTTCGGAGGCCTCTGGGTGACGTCCGGCTCTTGGGGTAGCCCCTGGGAGAAAAGCAGAGCGGTTGGCCGGAGGCTGAAGACCAGTGGTCATTCTTGGCAAAGGCCACTCCCCCTTCCCAGGCCTGGGCACCCCTAAGAGGCACACCAAAGGTCCCGGGGGCTCACCTGCCCCAGAGAATTGGCCACCGAGGAAGCGTTGTTATTAAGGGGCTTTTCGGAGACCCTGCCCTCCAGCTCACCCAGGCTCCAAGAGCCATTGCTTGAGCTCCCAATTTCTCTCTGTCCTTCTAGCCTCCTGCACGAACCCAGGAGACCCTTACCTTCAGTGGCCGGCCCTCCAGGGACCACGGTGGCCTCTGCTGCCCCACCTGGAAGTCAAGACAATTCTGGCATCAGAGACCCAGAGCCGTGGCCTTCTGGAGGCAGTCTCCCCACGGGGGCCTGGCCTGGAAGACGCCCTCGTGCCCAGAAGCCTTGGGCAAAACCGCCTTCGTTTGGCTACTGCTCCGTCGTCAAGGTTGCTCAGCTTTAAACGGCGCCCCTGAGGGTGACCGGGAGCCCCTTGCCAGGAGCCTGAAGGCAGGAGCGGCGCAGGCTGCTTGCTCTCGGGGCTGAGAATTTGGGCGTAGCATCAGCCACAGAGCACGAAGGGGGGGGGGGGGGGGGAGGCAGCGGCCGCCTCGTGCCCCTCATGGTGGCGGGTTGTGTGTGTGTGTGTGTCCCAGCAGTAGGAAAAGCGGCAGCAAGCGTTGTGTTCACAAATACGCTTCGCCCCAGACCCTCTCTGGCAACTCTCTGTGGCATGCCCACCTGTGGGGGGGGGAGGGGGAGGTGCTCTCTGGGCTGTTTTCTGGCAGATGTTTCATGACCCAAATCGGTAACATCATCAGTGCTAGTCCGATGGTATTGCTACCAGATGTTACCTGCTTTGAGTGATGAAATGTCTTCGGGGAAACCACCAAGCTCGGGGGGGGGGCTACAAATCCTCTCCCCTGTTGGTGCTCACCTGAGATACACGTCGTGAAGCAGTGCTGTTCAGAGATGAAGTTGTTGCCGTTGCCTTGGCAACCCCCAAAAATGAATTCCTGGCATGCTTGGCTTGTGGCATTGTACCACCACCGATGGAAAGATGCTCGGCAAGGGCCCACTCTCTTGGGCGCCCGGCATTGGTCTGAAAGCAGAGAGAGAGAGAAGTCTGTGGAAAGAAGCAGCTCCGGGGGGGGGGGGGGCTCCACACTCAAGTTTATCTTCCTGATGGCGGCATTTAGGGCCACTGAGACCCTCGGCTGCTGCCTCCGCTGGGCGCCAAGAGCCCAGGGCAACTCCCCCTCCCCCCCCAATTGGTCTGGAAAGGCAACTAGGACTGTGAACCACAAGTTATGAATGGGATGCTGAACTTGTGGCATCCTCCATCCTCTCGGCCTCAGAAGGCTGGTCTTGCCTTTTAACAGGGCAGCCCCAGTGGTACTTTGCCTGGAAGGAGGGGGTAACATTCAAGACTCAGACTCTGAAAATTCTTCCTGGGCTTTTCTGCAAATACTTTCAGGTGTGGTCAGGGAACTTTTCTCTCAGAGCAGAGCAAACGGTTGCCCTACATTTTTATTCTGTCACTGAAGATTTAAAGTGTTTTCCTAATTCCAGAGCGGATTGTAGGAAATCCTCCTAGTGGAAGGTGCCTATTTATGCAGGTGACCATTTGTCCCAGGAGCCGCTGTGGCCACATTTCCCACTGCGTGGCCAGCGGGTGGAGGGTTTTCGGAGAAGGAAGGTCGAGGCAGGCTCAAATGCGCCTCTTCTGGGAACCGTCTCAACTGCCCCCTCCCTCCCTCCCTCCCTCTGGCTGATGCCCTGCAAACACTCCGTTTCCCAGGTCTCGAGACAAACGCAGGGTCTGGACAGAGTCATGTTCCCCCAGTGACCCACAAGAGGAAAAGAGATCAGAGCCCCCTAGTTGGCTTCCGGAGCTCCACAGAAGGGAAATGTGCAGGAGGAGCCTTTTTCAAAGGCCAAAGGGGGGGGGGGGGAGGCAACCGGGGCACCTGCAGAGAAGAGGGCTGTGATGATGATGATGGGAGGGGCAGCCTTTGGAGAGCAGGGGAGAAACTCATTCAGCAACACGTGTCGCTTGGCGTGGGACTTATTGCGCTGCAACTGCAATTCTCTGGGCCTTTTCACCGTGAGGTGCATACGGAACGTCGTAACCTCCCTAGAGTTAGGTGAGAACCCAAAGGAAAAGGGTCCAAATAGATCTTGGATTAATTTGAAAGCCGCCTTAACTCGGAATGAGTTGATGCTTCAGGCATATGACCGTGTCGTGGCTATAAGAGCTTCCAGTTTATGACTGACCTGAATGAAATGTTGCAAGGGGCTAAACTGGCCATTTTTCAGATGAACAGAATTAGAGATTTTGTGCAGAAATAATTGGGCAGATTGTGAGCTTCAGAAAAGGAAGCCCTTAATTTCCTGCTTTGCTCCCCTCGTGTAATATATGTGGCCCGAGAATCCCATCGAGATTGCTGCTGGCAAGGAGCCCAAGACCTTCCCCAGCAGGAGAAAGCACAAGGAGGACCCTCCGCTCTTGACTGCAGAGAGGAGATTCGGCTTCCCTCTCCCCTTTGCCCCGAGTTTGGGGTCTGCCCTGTGGCCACTTGTCCCTGGCAAAAAAGGCAGGTGAAAGCACCCACTGCCCCCCCCCCCCGCTATGGGCTCTCGGCTGGTGAAACGCCCGGAAGCCTGGTGGGCATAATTTACTAAGGGGAACACCCCCCCCCCCCCGTTGCTGGTGCAAGGGCACAGAAGCGATGCCAGCAGGGCCAGAGGCTGGAGAGGGGGGCAGCAGAAGCATTTTCTTACAGGAAGTCCAATTGGCCCAGCTTCCTCCAGCAGGGAATGGCAGGCAGGCAGGTGACTCAGGCACAAGTTACAGACCTCACCCGGACAGGCTGAACCGGTTCAGGGCTGGTTGGCCCATCCCACCTCATCAGATTTCACTGAACAACTCCTCATTCCCGGAGTTCACCAGAAGGGCAGGCGCTTCCGCCCCCAGCTGGCTCTGGCCCAGGAAAACGCTTTTGTGTGCCCCCCAACAGTGCCAGAAGACAAGAACCCCCATTCAGCCAGGACAACAACCAGCAGGCGCCTAAAGCCCTGGTGGGCACAAGAGAAGCCTGCCACCTTGGTATCGGGCACTGCCCACCCTCCAGCAGAGTGGGACTAAGGCTCCAGCCCAGGGCGGTGCCCATCTGGCCGGGCAGAAAGGAGGCCCTCATCTCCCAGTCCCAGCAGCCAAACGGGGGGGGAAGAGGCTTGGCTTTCTCTTCCCCTTCCTGTGACCCCCCTGGATTTGGGACCCCCAACCACTGGGGCAGGGAAAGGTGGGTGGCTAAAGCGAGCCGCAGCCGGCCAATCTTTTCGGGTACGCCAAGAGCAGTCTGCGCTGGAAAGGCCTGAGGGCGCGTCCAAGAAAGGCACAGGGCGTTGGCAGCGGCCTGGATACAGCGCAGGAACCCACCCGACGATCCGCAAGTGAGCCTGCCCAGCGTATTTGAAGCTACGAAGGGCCGGACAGGAAGGGCTCTTCCTCCGATCGGCTCGGGGGAGCAGCGCGGGCCGCGGATTCTTACCTGGCGGCGACTCTGCGGCCGCCAGTGCGGCCAGTGCCCACGTGACCAACAGCGCCAGACTCTTCGCGCGCCCCATCGCACCGTCCTCCCGGACCAAACTGACCGCTGGGCCGCAAAGGCCGACGAACCCCGCAAGTGGGCCACGCCCATCGCTCTCCGGGCGCCAATCACGGGGACCGACGTCTATCGCCATCGCACCTGTCTGCCCACCTATTTTGCATAGGCTGCGTAGCGATCACGTGGTGGTGGTGGCGGTGGTGGAGCGCCCCCCCCCCCGCCCCCGGTTACAAAGTAGGAAAGTCCCGGATGGAGAAACCTGCCAGGTGCGGGCGGAAGATTCGGCAGGTGCAGGCGGGGCGGAGGTCAGGACCGCTGCTCCTGCTCTCTTCTCCCGCTCGCGGTGGCCTAGTTCCGGGATGGCTTCTGTGGGAAGCCCCCTGCGCCGGCTTCCATCCTTCGCCTTGCGAAGAGCGAGCTGGGATCGGCAGAGGCCCCGGAGGAAAAGCCGGAGCCCCTTCCCTTCGCCCTTCCCCCCCCTCCCTGCTCAATAGTCCAGCTTCCCTTTGGCCGAAGCGCCGGTTGGGGGGGGGGGGGGGGGGGGGGGGGCGCTCCACCACCGCCACCACCACCACGTGATCGCT